ACATAGTCTTGATTCTGATTTTTTTTAAAAATTTGTTTATCTTTATTCTATATGCATTAGTGTATTATCTGTGTGATGATGTCAGATCTCCTAAAAATGGAGTTAAAGACAGTTGTGACCTGCCTTTGTGGGTGCTGGGAATTGAATTTGAGTTCTCTGGAAGAACAGCCAGTGCTCTTAACCACTGAGCCATCTCTCTAGCCCCTTGATTCTGATCTTAGACAATACTCTGCATCTGATAGTTTGTATAAGATGAGAGTATCCGTTAGGGCTCATGGAAAAGTGGTGCTGTGTGGATGGCTCCTCTGGGAACTGATGATTCTGACTGCTTCCTTCCCGAGGTCTGATCTGAACGCTCTCTGTGCTCTCGATGCCACACTAGCTGTATCTCAGTGTTTCCTAGCGTGTTAGTGGCCTTTGAATTCTTGAACTAGACATAACTTAAAATACAAATGGTAAGATTTATGAAGTGCTAAATGCTCAAGAAGCTTCGGAACTTAAGTTTAGTCCTCAGCACAGGAAGATGACAGCAAGAATATGATGGGTGGGAGCCCCTAGACTATGAGGCCCTGAGAGCTGAGGAGACGTGGCCCTTTCTCTTCCTTCACATAAATTCTGGCTGCTGTGCTGAGGCATCCCAGGACCACACATCCATGCTCTTTTCGGAAAGAGCACACTGACTTGGAGGCTGCCTTGTGCTGCTTTATTTAGAATCTTGACAAGAACAACATTTTGTCAGAGATACTGATTTAAATAATTGTGTGTCAAGCTGGGCTTGGTGGTGCATACTTTTAATCCCAACACTCAAGTGGCAGAGACAGGTGAATCTCAGTGAGATCAAGGGTAGTGTGGTCTACATAATTCTAGGTTGGCCAGGCCAGGGCTATGTAAAGAAACCCTATCCCTCCCCAAACACATAGGTTTCTCTGTGTAGACCTGGCTGTCCTGGAACATGTTCTGTAGACCTGGCAGGCCTCATGTCTCCACCTCTGAAATGTTGAGATTAGAGGCATGTGCCACCACTGCCCAGCTGAAGTCCTGCCTTAACCCCATGATCCCTAAAATAAGTGTATTTGCATGAGTCTGGCCAGAGTACGATTTTGTAATGTCAGTTCTCTCCATCTTTATATAGATTTTGGGTGTTAGCTTGAAGTTGATAGTTTTGATGGTAAGTGTCTTCACCTGTTGATTGAGCCGTCTAGCTGTCCCCTAGATAGTGATTTTTAAATGTGCTGCTCTTTGTTTGCTGCTGCTTTTTTTAAATTCTAGTTACAAAGGAGGTGGGACAAGAGCTCAGTTTTCATGAGTTTAATTCAAGGCAGGATATATAATTGACTATAATTAATCTGCTACATCTTTCTTTTAGCCTGTCAAGTTAGCTGTTGTTTGCAGAGACGGTCAAGTCCATCTTTTTGAACACATACTAAATGGGTAAGTAAGAAGTTTAAGCAAGAAATGCCTGTGTTCCACCTCATTCTTTGGTTTATATTCCTGCTCATTCTGATAGGTTATTGTGAAAGTACTCTTTGGTTTGTCGAGACAGCATTTCTCTATAGCTTTGGAGCCTGTCCTGGAACTAGCTCTTGTAGACCAGGCTGGCCTCGAACTCACAGAGATCTGCCAGCCTCTGCCTCCCAAGTGCTGGGATTAAAGGTGTGTGTGCCACCACCGCCTGGAAGTTTATATGATTTTTTTTTAAAAACTTATTTCAAACACACACACACACAGTGTTTATTTATTTATTACACATACAGTGTTCTGTCTGCATGTGTGCCTGCATGCCAGAAGAGGACACGAGATCTCAACCACCATGTGGTTGCTGGGGATTGAATTCAGGTCGTCTGGAAGAGCAGTCAGTGCTCTTAACCACTGAGCCATCTGAAAGTCCTCTTGATTGCTTGTCTACATGAGTATGTCATGAGCTCAGGTTTTTGAAGTCATATGCCATGTTATTTCTTTGGTTAGGAGAATGGCCTTTTATGAAGTGTTTATCGTGACTATTGATAATGGTAACAAAAGTTGCTCAGTTGGGGAGACTTGCTTATGGATTTGGGTGGTGCCTTGGTTTGTCTTCCATCGTGGTTTATTTGCCTTTGCCTGTGTGTGTTTACCTCAGTGAAGTGTCCCTGTGCTGTTTCCTTATACCATGGGGTGGGTAGAGTTAGGAGAGTAGTGCACACACTATAGAACATTCTAGAGGGTGGTGGAATGCAGCTATGTCATGTGCTGGGCTAGATTGTCTGGTGCTAAGGCTTCATCTCTAGCATACCAAGAAGGAAAAATTCCAGAAATTTTGAGTCTCCTTGGCACAGGTAGGCCATCGAGAGTTTTTGGTTGGTTTGTTTGTTTTGTTTTACTTATTTTATTTGTGTGGGTATTGCCTCCATGCCTATATGTGTATCAGTTTCATGCCTGGTGCACACAGAGGCCAGAAGGAGGTGTTGGGTTCCCTGTAACTGGAGTTGCAAATGGTTGTGAGTTGCCATGTGGTTGCTGGGAATCAAATCTGGGTCCTGGAAGAGAAACCAGTGTACTTAACCTGTGCTGTGTCAACAGTTTTCCACCACTCCTTTGGGGACCAGATCATATCAGAGATGCTGCTTATCAGATATTTACACCAGTTAACAAAGTAACAATGAAAATAATTTTATGGTTGGGTCACCTCAGCATGAGAAACTAACTGTATTAAAGAGTCATGGCATTAGGAAGGTTGAGAACCACTGCACTGAGCCATCTCTCCAGCCCCTGTGGAAGAGTTTTAAACATATTTGATTCATGACCTAAGGCTCATGATAGTTGTTTTGGCAAAACTGTTGAAAATAGATTAAAGAGCGATAAAGGGCAGGGTCATATTTTCTAACTTGATAGCAATTTGAGATTCTCTAATCTTACTTTCTCTTTATTCCTAGACACTGCAAAAAGCCTTTGACTTCAAATTGCACAATTCAAATAGCAACACCTGGGAAAGGCAAGAGATCAACCCCCAAACCCATCCCTATTCTAGCAGCTGGATTTTGCTTAGATAAAACGTCCTTATTGCTTGTGTATGGCAATTGGTTTCAGCCTACCATTGAGCGAGTGGTAAGTAGATGCCACTTTGGAGATAATAATTCAGATTTTAAAAGGGGCATTTTGGAATACTTAGAAAAAATAAACAACATTCTTTAATTAAAAAAAACCTTCAGTGGGTGGTTTGTGAGAATTCTTACTCTAAACCCAACAGTTTATAGAATGTCACCTCTTCTTTCCTCTTGATGTCTTAGGAATCTGATGTTTCCAGTGTGTGTATCTAACTTTGAACTAGTCCTAGTATCATGTTCCTACTGGATACATGTTTCTGGTCAGCATGAGTATGATTTGAGTTTTGAATTTTGTCCTATTACATAAAATACACTACTTACTAATAGCCTTTAGTGGTGGTACCTATTGTATTTTCTAATGGAAATGGAAGGGATAGTGTCCTGACATTTTTTTTACTACAGAGTTTTTTTTTTTTTTTTTCTAAAGACCTGCGAGTTCTTAGTCATGTCTAGTGTGGTTAAGCTTGGTTTGTAATGCTTTTACTTAATAAGACCAAATAAGCTTGCTTTCTTGAGTTTATTAAAGAATATTCTTTTCTTCCTTGTAATGCTAGGGATTAAACTCAGCCTCATTCATGCTAGACAAACACTGTACCACTGATACAGGCTCTTGCCTGGTAGCCGAAACTGATTGAACTTGTAAGGGGTTCTACTGCTTCTTCCTCCTGGTGCTGGGACTTTTAAGTGTCCTCGATTCCAAGAAGTACTCTGAAAAATTGGTTTGATTAAACAAGGAGAAAAAGATACAGTTGCTGGCTGTATGGGATGCCCCTTTCTGGATAACAGCCTTTATTATCTCTTTAGGGTTTGCAGGTGTTAGGCATAAAAGCAACATAGAAGCTTTTCTAGGGACATAAGTAACTTGTTGCATGTGACTTCTCTGCCCTCCTTGGGCATTGTTCTTGGACATACAGGTCCCTCTGAGAGCAGTCTGTTAGTAAGCAGAGCTGTCCTCAACCTGTTTGTAGGAAGAACTTGCTTAGGGAAATTTAGGGTAGGACCCATTATTTTTGTGGGGGGACTTTATTTATAAGACTGTTGGACTATATACCCTTTCCTGTAGATAAGAATTATCTGTTGGCCTTTGATGAGTGAAAAATTCTGATGGTCCATAAACAAGGGAAGTACACACTGCACCAGTGCCTTCAGTTGATTTTTCTACTAGCTGCCATTGGTCTGAGTGGAGATTGTGGCTAACAGGTGGCCTGGAGGTCTTCCTTTTATTCTTTATGGAGGTGATGTTGTTTGTCACATCGTTGGTGATTGCTTTGCTTGACCTTTCTTCTCTCCCTTCCTCCCTTTGAAAAACCATTTCCAGGCTTTGAACACCAAAGATACTCATATATGTTTGGAAAGAGACATTTTCAATTGCTGGGCTCCAACAGTAGAAACAGCAATAACCAAGGTAAGCACATTACAGGCTTGATATTAAGAATAATAGATTTGGCTAGATTGAGTTGAATACAGTGCCATATTAGACTGACTTCATTTATTTTTTTAAATCCTGTCTCCTGAGGTACAGTTTTGCTATTTAGCCTAAATTGAAATTCATGATTCTTCAGCCTCAGTGCTGTTTACACTACTGCACTTTATGCTCTTTTCTTATAGCACAGCGTGAGACTGTGCTTTCAGATGTAAAGGGTGTAAGACATCTCTTTCTGCTGATGATGTGCGGATGAGCTGGACAGGGAACTCTGGAGGAGTGTGTGCTCATAAGAGTTCAGTGTTGCTCATTAGTCTCTGCACTTGAAAGAGCACATCGTTGTTTAAATGTATGTTGTATTTCAGGGTAAAATCAGACCACAGTAGATCTGGAGTTCATTGCCTCCCATCCGTCATTGCTGCATTCTGTTTTCAGTATAACTTGCTGTTGCTATATAATGCCTTGTTTGGTGATGAAATAGGAAGGAAAGCCAAGCCATGCTGTGATGATACCCACATGGTTTCGCATCCGACTGAGTTTCAGAGATGACACCTTTCTCTTGGCTGTCTGAGCATGGCTGGCAAAGATTTGGTTTTGGAGGTTGTTAGGTGTGTAACTTGAGCAGTTTTTGCATCACACAGCTTTTTGGTAGGTTTTATTTTTCTTAATGAGATATTGTAAACTTTAAAACCACGAGCTTTTAGCCAGTATTTTAAGTTTATTTGTCAACATTTAATTCACATTTTGTCTGGAATTCCTGTCATGGTGAGTATGTTGCATTGCATTGTTGAATGGAAAAGTTTAGGATAGCTGCTTGCTTTCTCTAGTAGGAAGCACAAGAACTAAGTCACATCTTTCCCACACATTGAATCTGTGTGTGACAGGTGAGAACTCCAGTGATGAATGCTGAAGCAAAAGTTCTGGTGCCTGGGATTCCTGGACATCACGCACCGATCAAGCCCCCACTCTCACAGCCTAAGGAGGGGGAGAACAAGAGGAAATTAGGCAGGAATGAGGTAATATCTGCTTACTTGGGTTTGAAGTGTGAGGAATTAATTGTAGGGAGCATATTGGGTAGAGCTGGAGCAGTTTTTCAGAATCCTGCAGCAGTTATTGCTTCCTTCCAGTCTTTAACTGAAGAAATTTTCGTCTTTTCTCAGTAGCTGGAGAGTAGTTGAGTAGGTTATGTCAGGAATTGCTGTGATGACTTTGACTGGGTTTCGCATATTGCTGAGTTCCCATGATGCCTCCTTTCTCTTGGCTGTCTGAGCAATCCTGGCTGGTTGTGTCTTAAAATAGAGCTTTGATATTTTACAGTTTATTACATTTGTTTATTAGTTTGTATGTGTGCATGAGTGCATCTGTGTGGGAGGATTGGGCATGAAGATCACATTTGTGCCCTGCCTGTCACTTGTGTGGAGGTTGAGGACAACTTGGCATAATTAGTTCTCTTCTTCTACCTTTTGGGTTCCAGGGATTAAAATCAGGCTGGTGGCTTGATGGTAGGCTCCTTTACCTGCTTGAGCCATCTTGCCACCCCAACTTTGTATTCTTGACAAGTATTAGGGAAACATGGTAATAGCTGTTTTCTTGGTGCATTGATGGTGAGATGCCAGGGTTTTCATTTTTAATCTACCCAAAGAGTGATTGTGCCTCTTTTTTTAAAGTAAAGAAAAATTAGGTTTATGGCTATTTTCCTTACATGTATGTCTCTATTGTGTGCATCCAATGCCTGTAGAGGCCGGAGGAACACATCGAATCCTTTGGAACTGGTGTTCCAGTGATACTTGTGGGCAGCCATGTAGGTGCAGGGAGCCAAACTTGGGTCCTCTGGGAGAGCAGCCAGTGTTCTTAACTTCCGAGCCATTTCTTCAAGTCACCAGTGTGCCTCTTTAGGCTTTTGTTTTTGCTAGACTGGGGGAATTTGGATTGCAGCTCTTTTCATGTTTCTTCCACGGCACTACTGTGGTGGTGAGTGAGATTCTTTGTGTTTCTGTGACCGAAGTATGACTCTTGAGTTGTTGGCAGCCTCTAAATCCCTGTTTGGTTAACTTAGATGTTTCTGCTCTGTAGGCTAGCATCGAGGAGCGCCTTGAAGCCATGGATCTAGATAGAAAAGGAAGGAAGGATGACCTTCTGCAGACAACCAGCTTTCCAGTCCTTCTCACCCAGGGCTTGGAAAGCAATGATTTAGAGATGCTAAACGTAAGTATTGCAGCAAATTTCAGTGGGCTGAGAAGTGGAGGCTGTGGACTCAACTCAGCGAATGAGTAGTCACAGCATATGGAAACATGCAACTTAGTTTGTGTGTGTGAATTTAGTCAAATGTTATGCTTGGTAGCAGTATACAGACATTCATCAACCTACCATGGGATTGTGTTATTTATTATCTTGAACTTGGAATGCATTTTCTCATAGAAATGGTATTTTAAATTGTTGGATTCCTTAGGCTTTAGTTTACAAAAGCCCATATAAAGTGCAGCTAAATTCTTAACACTTAGCATTCTAGATCACAATTTATATCTTTTTCTGTAGGAAAATGCGTTCCTGAGTTTTTACTCTGGATTCCAGAAACTTATTACCCCTGGCCGTGAGAGGGGGCAATGAGGTGGAACCTTGGCAATGGGTAGGAGTTCGGGGGAAGATTCAAGAGGGTTGGGGGCTATGTTATTATGTAGTTCTAGAAATTTAAAGAAGCGTTAGAAATGTCTTTAAGTTGGTGACTGCTTGCAGGAAGCTACTCAGTTTGGCTCTCTTACACCCACAGTTTGACAGTGTCTACACAGAAAAATTGACAAACAGTAGGACCTGAGTACTTAAACTGCCTGATCTGTTAGTGCAGTTTTCATTTGTTAAGTGCTTTTTTTATACCTTAGCAGTATTAGTTCAATCAGTATAGATGACCTTGAACTTAATGATTTTTCACTTGATTTCAATGTGATTATTTAATGTTTCTGTCTAAAGTAGTCTTGTGTAAAGAGGGTGCAAATAAGCATAAAAATATAAATTTACTTTCCAAGTAGTTTGACGTAATTTGTTTTAGGTGACTTGGAAACATAGAAGAATTTGATGAAAAATAGTTTGTACAAAATACTTACTTGACATTATTTTTGAAACATCATTGCTTATGTGAATATGGTTCTAGAACTGTACTGTAGATCATCAGGAGCCTCCCTCTGTTTCATAAGCTCCCCACAAATGCCTGCCAGGCCATCTTCTGTTCATTTATCTGTTCACGTGCTAACATGGGTGGAGTAAGTTTATGATGAGATGTTTCATCCATAGACAAACCTACCTAACTTAAAAACGCCTTTAAGAAAGTGGACCACCATCTATTACCATACCTAAAAAAAGTTAATAGTACTTTTAAAAATTATTGTTATTACGTGTGAGTACAGATAGGTGTATAGAAATCACGATGGTAAAGGAATACACGGTCATTTGGTGGACCTTTAAAACCAGAACTACTCCACTTGAGAAGACATGCTGGATGCCAGGGTTGTTGGGGCACTCTGTTAATCTCAGCAGTTCAGGTGACTGAGGCATAGGTCAAGGTCAGCCTGGTCTGCACAGCCCAGGACAGCCAGTACTACCTAGAGAGACTCTGTCTCAAAAAAGGACAGTGGTAGTCAGGTGTAGTAGTGCACACATGAGGATGAGGCGGGGGGATTGTATGCTTCATTCAGGCTATCCTGTTTGTGACGTAGCAAGAGCCTCTCTCAACAAATGAACTAAATGACAGTGTTAGGACCGTGAAACAAAACAGCGTGATGAAACACCATGTTGTAGGCTGAAACATGTTCACTTTTACACCACAGTTTTTACTTAGTATATATAGAGAGCTCTTAACAAGATGCCATTCAAAAATCCAGTAGAGAAGTGAACAGACAGCACATAGAAGTCAGATGGACAATAAGAATGTATAGAAAATTTTTTTTTTTACGTTTGTTTGCTTGTCTTATATGCCAGGGTGTGCCACAGGGGACATGTGGAGGTTGAGGACAACTTTTCAGAGTTGGTTCTCTCCACCATGTGAACCCTAGGGATTGAACTTAGGTTGTCAGACCTGACGGGAGAAAGCTCCTTTGCCCTCTGAGCCACCTCACCAGCCCACATGTAAAAAAAAAATTTTCAGTGTGGCAACCACCACAGAAAGGCAGAGTAAGATCTCAGTGAGATGATACTGCATGTCTGTTATAGGTTGTTAAAAATGAAAAAGGTGACATTTGTGTTGTATTTAGCAGCTGAAAACCATGCCTTGCTGTTGGCAGTGTATAATGAAATAGGTACTTTGGAAAAACAGTTTGAGTTTGTTACAAATGAAGAACACACCTACTATGCAGTCCCACTGTTCTGTTCCCTCCTATTTATCAAGGGACTAACAAGTCATGCCTGGGCAGTGGTGGTGCACGCTTTCAATCCCAGCACTCAGGAGGCAGAGGCAGGTGGATGGTGGTGAGTTCAAAGCCAGCCTGGTCTACAAAAGCTAGTTCTAGGACAGGCTCCAAAGCTATGGAGAAACCGTGTCTCGAACGAGAGAGAGACGGAGAGACAGAGAGAGAGAAAAAAAAAACCCTGTCTCGAACAACAGAGAGAGAGAGAGAGAGAGGGGTCATCTTCTTGGTAGTTAAAGCTGGTTAATAGGGCTGTTTTTTTAAATATGGTCTTGAGAAAACTTTCTGTAGTTCCTTGTTTCGTGTCTGGTGTCCATGTTTACCGCCTCCCAAAAAAAAAAAAAAAAAAAAAACCGAAAAGGCAGAATTTCTCTGTAGGCCAGAGTGCTGGAATTAAAGGCGTTTGCTACCGCTGATTGCTTTTCATACAGCTTAGTTTCCTGTCTTTTCCCTCCCTCCCTCCTTTTTTTTTTTTGTTGCAGGCAATGACCTTGAGCTTCCCGATCTGGGCTGGGCCACTAGTTTTTCTGTGGTTCTAGGGGCTGAACCTGTGACCTACTTCATGCTAAGCAAGCACTCAACCACTGAACCACATTCCCAGCCTTCTTTTCTTTTAGCTTTTTGTTTTCATTTAGACAGGTCTCATTTTATAGACCAGGTTGGCCTTTAACCTACAGTTGGCCTCTGCCTTTCTTTTTGTAAGCGTTTCCCCTTCCCTTTCTTTCCACTAACTAACCTTTTCCATGCTTCATCTTCCCCACCCTCTCTGTCTCAGATATGAGACCTCAGGTTCTTTAATTGGTGTATATATATTCCTAAATACAGAAATATGATTTCTGTCCCTTGTGTGTTGGGATTTTAGGCAAGTGTTACCATGTCTGGCTCGTTTGTGTGTCAGTGTCTGTTTGTCTGTCTGGCTCGGATTTCCTGCTGCTTCCCGTCTCCCCAGTAGAAAAATAGGCTTATTTTGCAAACCTGAAAGAAAACAGCAGATATGACAGTGGCAGAATGTGATGAGACTTGGCGTAAGTCATGGTGTGACAGGCCGGATTATTATTTTTGGGGTTTTGAGATGGGTTTCTATATGTCCTGGCTGTCCTGGAACTAACTCTTGTAGACCAGGCTGGCCTCAAACTCACAGAGATCCGCCTGCCTCTGTCTCCCAAGTGCATCACCCCCAC